GGACACGGACACAGGCACGGAGCCGTTTGCCGGGGCTCTGCAAAAGAAAAATGTGCAACATGATTGCAGTTTACAGCGTTGCAGAGTCTAAGCAACACCGGCAGCAACAACTGAAAACCAACAGATAAAATGCATTTACAATTGAATTTGAATGTAATTTTATTTAAGCTGCGGTCAGCCAGGGGCACATGTATGAATGTGTGTGTGCGGTGGCTGGGTGTTGCTGCTGCTGCACGGCAGCAACAATTGGCCAAGTGGCAGGAAATTGCCATTATCTGGCATTATCCACTTGTGCAACAGTAGCAGCAGTCAGTGCAGTCGGTGCAGGCGGCGTAGGCTGCACGTCAATCTCTGGTCGAGATCAGAGGTTTCAGTGATCCTCCCCTAATTAATGGCACCAAGCAATCACAACAATAACAAAAGCAACGACAACAATTAGCATATCGTTAGCTCGCATATTGACGTCAAATTTGGTCTGGCATTTAATGATCAGCAAAACCAATTCGTAGCCGTACTCCAAATTACGGTGATCATTTTAATTGCAGTGCGCCAGACAATACGCTGCTTCTCAAACTGGAAGCCAACAGCTCAATGCTCAATTACAAATGAGCGAGTTGAAGAGCGATAGAGAGAGAAACATTCGGTTGTGTGTGTGTGTGTGTGTGTGTGTCTGCGTGCATTTTAAATCAATTAAAAAAAGCTTTCTAACAAGCTTTGCCCGCCTGTTAAGTATGTTTGAGCTTGCGCTGGAATGGGGCGTGTTTTGTGAGCATTGCAACATGTTGCTTAGCTCATGTTGCTGGCTCAACTTATGTTGCTGCTGAAGTTGTTGTTGGATTGGCCGTCAAGTGCGCTCTGCTTATTGGTTTGTGCTTAGGCGTAGGCGTATGAAATGCTTTTTAATTTCTTTTTTCACTTGTTTGTGCACTTCATTTTCCTTTTTTTTCATTTTCATTTTGTATTTTCTATGCAGTGGTTGTTGTTGCCGTTGCGCTGAGTAAATGGCGTTTTATTTTATTGGCCATATTTGTGCTCTGTCATGCGTTGTTTGCCTTTGACTGAACAACTCTATACAACTGGCTTTAACTCCTCTTTACCCAGAGTTGTTAATGTTGTTGGTTGCTGTTGTTGTCGCGGCAACACTAAGCTGTCCATTATCAATGCGTATCACGTTGTTGTTGTTCGCTTGTTGTTGAAGTCGTTGAAGTGTGCTTAAATGGCGTCAGCAAGACATTTGCTAGTTTAATGTGTTCGACTCCAATCCAACACACACACCTATACACACACAGCCTGTGTGCCTGCATGGAGCAGCAACCAAAATGAAAGCCAACATTGTGCAAATAACAAACAGATGGCTAATAAAGAAGTCCACTTCAGGTCGCTCTGCCACCGTGTGTGTGTGTGGGCGTGGCTGTGCACACAATTTGTTTACACTTTAATTTCTGCAATTTTGTTTAGTTAACTTTACGAGCACTCGCCGTAGGGACGCCCATAGGCATACAAGGTCTTATCGCTGCGGTGACAACTGAGTTGATCTACCCTCCCGAAGGGGGGCCACTTTAAAACTTCATCAGCTTTCAGTGTAGCTGTGTATGTGTAATAAGCGTGACTAAAGTTAAATAAACAATCCCACACACACACACACACACACACGCACACAACTGGCGCCCATTGTGACCGCCATTGCAGCAACTCCCCCTCACACACACTCGCTCGCTCGCTCGCTCTCCCCTTCCCATCTCCTTCTCCCTCTGCCTCTGCCTTTCACTCTCATTCGCTCTGAGAAGCAGCTACGTTGCATTTAATACAATATAGCAATTGTTCTTGTTGTTGGCAGCATTTTGGTTTTTGTAGTTCACGCTTTTGTTATTTGCATTGTTTTATTTGGTGTTAAAACGGTTGTCATAATTATGCAGCTTGGAGCAAAAAAAGTGTCAATGAATCATATTTCCACTGGCATTGCACATTTTCAGTTTTCACAGTTTTCTTATTTTACAGCTATTTGCATTTTTCATTTTAAGCTCACAATGAACAGCGCTCAGCGCAGCGCCAGCAAAAAGTATCCAACTACAACAAATGAGCGCCATTTAATAATGCTTCCTCGTCTCGTTTATTGTTTAATAATGTAATTAAGCATATCATCATTTCACACACACACACACGCACACAAGTGCTCAGCTTATCTGCCGTCGCGCTCGCACCTTTTTCGCTTGCCTTGCACTTGATTCTTTGCATGTATCTCATAGATACTTCTGCTGGGCTATTTGTATCTCATAAATGACACGGCGCTGTTCCAGTTTTTCCAAACATTTGCTTACAAGCATGTTTCGCTGTTTCGTGGCGCGTAGCGCCATGTTTAGGTTTTTTGGGCTTTGCTTAGGCGCAACTGTTAAACTTGCCAGATTTTGAATTTGACGTCTAGCTTCATTAATGAAACTTATTTCATGTTGCTGAGCCAGCAAATGAATGGCCATAAAATGTTGTGCCGCAAAGATGATCATAAAATCTTTGATTTTTTTGGTAATTGCACAAGACATAAACAAGCAGCTATTAGCACTGGCTAATTCGACAGCGTTGCCAAATTCATGTACATTCATAATGTTTGCTTTGTGTATGGCAAACGCCGCGTTCTGAGGTGAATTTTGGCTTTGGCTTATTTTCGAGTGCCGCAAATGCTAATAAAGTTCTTTAAATATAGTATACTATGTAGTTAGCCATTTAATAGTCTTTCTGTAATTGTTTGTGTCTATGTGCCAGACTTATTTATTCTGTTTCTGAGGTAATTGTTAAGCAACCAGTGAGGCCCTTCCAGCAAAAAGCTCTGCGAAATATCAATCAAGCTGAGCAGTTGAGCAGCTAGTCTTTGACATAAATTTAATGTTTTGGTATATCAAAACAGAGATTGTCAAAAGAAAACTTTTATTTTTTGTTTTCTCCTAATCGAGCCAACATCAACTCAAAAATCCCGCATACTTTGAAGTCAAATTAACACTTCATTTTGTATAAATTCACGCCAACTGCAGCTCAAGGCAAGTTGTTATGCTCTTTTTCCTTTGGAGTATAAATAAAATGTGAAAATCATTTCCCATAAATCAAAAATCTCCGTTGCAGAGGAACAGTTCTTCCTCGGCATTTTCTGCTCAGTTCCTCTTCGCGTGCTAACGAGGCGACCCCACTTGGAACCTTGAGCGGGCGTCAAAATTTATGTACTTTTTTATATATTTTTAAAATTATGCAAAACCTAAATCGCAATGTTTTCAGGCACAGGGAAAAGGGTAGTAGTGCCATGGAGCAGTTGTGGTGGAGCAAAACTTTTTCGCATAGTTGTCAGCGCTGCTTTGTTTAATTACGCTAATTAAGAATATTAATTGCCGTTCACCATTCGCCGTTCGCCGTTCGTTCGGGGAAGGTTTTTTATTGTTGTGCAACAGAAAATAGAACATGAGTTATGATTATATGGCACATAACGAGCAAAGTTTTTAGCATTTCCATTTAAGTTGTAAAATCGAAAAAGTTAATAACAACTTTAAGCAGACAAAGGCTGGCACACGCACTCCATTAAACGAGAGCGCCAGACATTCATACATATGCGACAACAGCAACAATAACAAGCCACTAACTGGTGCAGTGTATGATGGGCAGCGGGAGGGGGAGTGGGAGGCTGACACAGGTGTCCATGTCGCTGGCACTTCAACACCCGAGCAACTGCCTGCCACAACTCGTGCGACGCGCTCGTTCGTTGGTCTCTTTTCATTTTCTCAACACGTAACACAAACACGTGACCGTTAAGGACACGGACACGGCTCCGGCTATGGCTCTGGCTCTGGCTTCTGTTGTAGGCGCAAATTGCAAACAGAAGGACAACAGCAACGACGGCAACCCTCCATAAACTGCCAGCTTATGTCAGATACAAAGCCAACTCAGCCTGGCTGCCACCCTGTAGTCCTAGCCAAAAGGCAAGTGAAGCGTGCAGCGTACAAGAACTCGTAGTTCACCCAGCGCCTCCATTCTCTGCCGGCTGGGTGCGTGTGTGCACAATATTCATATATCACAAGGATAAGCGCAATGCAGCAAACGTCCTTCCAGACGTGCCGTCGCTGCCAGCCTGCACTGTCCTGTGATATCCAGGCGGCACTCAGTTGGCACTGACCACTGGGCACGGGAGTTCCACTAAACTTCATGTGTGTAACTTTTAATTATTTGCGAACGTTGGCGCCAGACTCCGGCTTAGGATGCTGTGTGCCCCTGTTACCAAGCAACCATTCATTGATTTCCACTTGCCTTTGAATGACCAACTAGCGGCGAGCGACGAGTAGAGTAGAGTAGAGCGGAGAGCGAAGAGTAGCTAGTGGATAGCGTCGAATGCGACGACAGACGGCGGTCAAGGCAATGTCATAAACTTGAGCACCATAAAATTTGCTGGCAGCGCAATAAAAAAAGCCACAGCGGGAGATGGAGATGTAGTTGTTGGCGTCGCCAGTTGTGCCAGGTTTAAGTCCAAGTCCAGGGCGTGACCAGGGAACAGCAGATTTAGCGACAAACGCCAAACGCATAAAACTAACGCAGCGTAAACGACGACGACGACGACGGCGGCGACGTTGTCTGTTTTGGCAGCGCAAGCGAAAATTTATCTTATTTATTTGTTGAGCGAAAGCCAAGAGCAAGTGCAGCATTTTGATGCTTGACTGATTGGACTCAGTTTATGAGGCGCCACGGCTTTGCCAATTGCAATATGCATGCCGCAGCAGCGCCAGCGTTGCCATCCAGTCAATCACTTGGTGATGTGCTGTAGAGTTGACAACTTTAATAAAGTAACAATCAAATAACGATTAGATTAAAAATTGGTAGTCACGAAATAGTTACAGGAACATCCGATTTCATGTTAATTTAATTTTTAACACATCGTTTGCATTTTCAATTAATTATTTACATTAATTAAGTTTTGAACTTGTTCACTTTTTACTGATTGATGTGTCACACTCAATAACAGCCAAACTTCTAGAGCTGCCAGACTGTTTGAAATGCCGTTGTGCAAAGAAGACAGCAAGCACCTATTGCACTTTGACAGCTTTGACTTTACGCAGCGTAGAACGGGACAGGAGTAGTTTTTTTTAAGCTGTCGACGCAATTTTATCGCAGTTTTGAATTCAACTTTCAGTGCAAAAATCCTTGTAGAGACGAAAATAAATTATAAAACAAGAGATAATTTAACAAAAGTTGCACATTTTAAAAGCTTCCACAGACCAAATAGAAGCAAGCTCGATCACAAATATGCCGGTATGGCAATTCTAAGACAGTGCAATAGAAATATACGAAATTGGACATTTCTAGGCATTTAAAAACTTAATAGATATATGCAAACACTTACTTATTACAATTTCATGTTCGGTTTTTATTTGCAGCCAAATCGCTCGCGTCAGGTCGCCCGCAAGAATCCCTGGCCGCGCAAGGTTAGGCAACTCAATAATCGCCAGAAGGTTGCTAGCACGACGCCCACGCCACAAAAAGTTGACCTAATGACGATGGCAGAAGGCACCGACCCCATGGGGCATCATCATCACGCCGCCGGCTCGCACAATCCCCACCATTATCACCATCATCCACACCCACATTCGCATCAGCACCATCATCCGGCGCAGTACCACCATCCCAGCCAGCACTATGCGCCCGCACAGCAGCCGCCGGCAGCATCAGCAGCAGCAGCAGCTGCTGCCGCCTCCCACTATGCGCCCTACGCTCAGCTGCAGTATCGGCATCCCATGCCCCACCAGCATTTGCCACTGGCCCTCAGTCTCCATCAGCAGGCGGCAGCAGCAGCCGCTTCGGCAGCGGTAGCAGCTGCAGTAGCCAGTGTCGAGCAGCACAACAACAATCAGCCATTTGTAGCCAACAACAACATTATGCCGTGGAAGCAGCGCAAGCGCAAGCGCCTCTCAGCTGTGCTCGATAAGCTCCATCACAACAACAACAACAACAACAACAATAATAATAATACAAATAACAACAACACAAATAACAACAATAATGGCGTGGCCTGCAAAACGGAGCCCATGGATATGGATGAGCGGGATATGGATGAAATGGAAGCAGACTTAGAGAATGAGGACAACGGAGATGCAGCGCATGATTCCATGCAGAAACATGAGGCTAACTACATTAAGAGAGAAGCGCGTGACGCATTGACGGCAGCCAGCGATGAGGAACAGATTGAGGCCGAGGCTGATCTCTCCGCAGAGGAACTCTCGCACTCGGACCAGGACGAGCAGGAGAGTCCGCGAATAAGCATGAGTCCCCTCCAGGTAGCAGCGACGCCTTCTTCAAAGCCAGCGCCAGATCTTGCTACAGATGCCAAGGAGAATCCGCTGCACGTGGACATCAAGACTGAGCACATGCCAAGCCCCTATGATCGATACTTTCCCATACCATCGCCGCTGTTTGGCTACTATCTGCATACCAAGTATTTGAATGAGGTGTTCCGACGACGACAGGATCTATATCCCTCACCGCTGCAGCACACTCCCTCCTCCATAGCCTCCGAAACGGAGACCTCGCCCACCAGCCAGGGCAAAACACCAACCAGCAACAGTAACAGCAACATTAATGGTAGCCAACAGCAACACTTGATGTCCGGCGTGCTGATCAATGCATCACCGCCACCGTCGCTGCCCTCGCCACCGCGCAGCGATTCCTCGGTAACAGCCGCACAGCCTACGCGTGTCAGTCCGAAGCCGGCCAAGAAGAAGAATTCCCCGTCGTCTGGTGAGAAGCCCATGCCGCCGCCGCAGGAGCGTCCATTGGATTTGTGCATGCGAAGCGACTTGTTTGGCGATCCCAAGAAATATAAGTCGGGGTCGCCGCCTATACATGCCGCCACTGCGGCAATGATGCCACCACCGCCCGCATCAATGAGCGCTGCCAGCAGCCTGGAGAGCATGAATGCGCTTTCGCCGGCGTCAAGCACGCACTCGAGCACTTCCTTGACCAGCACAACGCCCACATCGACCCTAGCACCGCCCGCTGCAATGTCTCCATATGCCATGACTGCAGCAGCAGCACACGCAGCAGCTGCTGCGGCTGCAGCAGCCATGATCAAAATGGAGATGCCCATGCATCCGCTGCACTCGCACGTACCCACCACAACAGTGGGTGTTCCGGTGATTAAGGGTGATGTCGCCTCACCCACCACAAAGGAGACGGTGGCGTGGCGCTATAACCTGGACGTGTCGCCGGTGGTGGAGGAGATGCCGCCTGGCTCGGATGTGGCTTATGTGTGCCCGACATGCGGGCAAATGTTTTCGCTGCACGATCGGCTGGCCAAGCACATGGCTTCACGTCACAAGTCGCGCAATCCCGCCAACGACATAACCAAAGCCTACTCCTGCGACGTTTGCCATCGCTCGTTTGCCCGCTCCGACATGCTGACTCGTCATATGCGCCTGCACACCGGTGTCAAACCTTACACCTGTAAAGTGTGCGGTCAGGTCTTTTCGCGCTCCGACCACTTGTCCACGCATCAGCGCACGCACACCGGCGAGAAACCCTATAAGTGTCCACAGTGTCCGTATGCCGCTTGCCGCCGCGATATGATCACTCGACACATGCGCACCCACACACGCTACGAGTCGCGTGGCTCCGGTGGCGGAGGTGGTGGTGGTGGAGGTGGAGGTGGAGGTGGAGGTGGTGGTAGCCGGGGCGATCAGCCGAAATCTCCGATGCCGCTGCTGGACATGAAAATGAACATGAATCTGCCACTGTTGCTCCAGCAGGAGGAGCTGCTGCAAAAATCTCCTCTCGGTCTGGGTGGACCAATGCCCATTGTGGTAAAGACGGAGAGTGCCTAACGGTATCTCTACGCGGCCGCGGCAAGACAGTTCATGACTTTTTAGAAGCGTCACTAGAGTTGAGTTGGCTGTCCAGCTTAGTGCCAGTTGAGCCCATAGATCAGTTGTAGTTTCGTGCTACGTACAACTCTGAAAATCTCTCTGCGAAGACTGAGAACCTAATTACTACCTACTGTTAAAGGCTTAGGTTTATATACACACACATACACACACACGTATATATATTTATATATATAATTAAACTTAAAGATCTATTTTAATTTTTACACACACACACCAGAGACAAATACAGACGGAGTTAACTCAGACCACCTCCCAACGTATTAGCGTTTTAATTAGTTGTAGAGCTACAACTAGAGCTGCACCAATCGCACGGAGACAGGCTTAGTTGGTATTTCGTAGTATTGTATTTTTGGATAATGTTGTTTACAACGTTCAGATACAGCTAGCAATTCCATGTTCCACAATTTAGCAGTTAGTTAACGTCATATTGAAAACTTATTCATAGTACATATGGGCGCAAGCTAGACGTAGTTTGTTAGCTAGTTCGTTAATTGTTAGTTAGTTAGGTAGAGGTCAGAGATTTTGGCCTCTGGGCATTTTTTAACAACATTGAAATTATTAAGCTAGGCATGCAACCCATCTAGGCTACATTTGCCATAGACTTAACGTATTTGTATTTAGTAATTGAAAGCAAAGCGGACAAACCATAAACAAAACGTTAGTTACTACGGTTATTTATAATTTATTATTAATTACAATTAACATTAAAATACGCTAATTTATTTTAGGTTACTCTACTCGGCAGCATTGCGCATTTAGTTATTAACGTCTTAGCGCCTAAAAGACAAAAATTTGTATTAATTTAATTATAGTTTTACAATTTTACACACAGAAAAAGACAAAGAATTCTCCCTAGGGCACAAAAACTAAAACATTTCGATTTCATACGTGAGGCGATTGCAAAGCTAAATTAATGATTATTCCTTTATTTTTTTTGTTTAACAAAAATCTCTTTTAATTTTTGAAAAAATGTATCATTTTATATTTTTGTTTTTCATAAAATGAAATAAAAACTTTGTGTTTTTTAGTTCAATTTTATATTCAAAGAAACATTTTTGGCTAAACTGAAGCAATGCAAAAAATTATTCAAAATGTAAAATTATAAATTAAAAATTAAAAATTATGGCAAGTTTCTGTTTTGCCAATATTTTAAATTCTTTTTATAACTGTTTCAAGTTGAAGTTTTTGTTATTTATTACCATTTTTCTGAGCGCATGAAATATTGATTATTAATTTTAATTATCCGTTTAAATAAATTATTAATTTATGTTGTAGTTCGTTATGATTAGTTTCAAAAGTTCAAAAGTTTTTGAAAAATAAAACAAACAAGACAAAAACAAAAAAAAATACTATCAAATACAGACAAAAAAAAACAATACACATAAATCTTTATTTATTTTCTTTTTATGGCACACTGCTATAATTTTTATTTTGTTTATAGCAACTTGAACTTGAGGCGGAACCGTAAACACAACATAAATTATTGGATCAAGATTTTTAAAAGACAGATCATGGGTAAATCTGGGTTACGCTGGCTCAATATCTGTTAGAGCATTCGGTCCCAGCGACATCTTCCACCTCGCCTTCTATGCCACCTTTATTCTTATCGCCAGGTGGTGGGGCTCCAAAGTCCTTTTGCCGGAAACTGGCTTACAAGCTTTTAGGCAGTCGAAAGTGCTTACATGGCAAATAGCAAAGTCGCAGCTGGTCACGAAATTGCAGTCAGGCACGCAGCAGACGAATGGCCCCCAAATGGCCCCTCACAAGACTTTTTGGCCAAGTTTTCCCACGCTTTACCACCTGCGGGGGTGACCGTCGTCCTGCCCAATTTCCAGTCCCTTTGGCAACGCGCAAATTTCTTTAGGCTTAATGGCCAAACGACACGAATGCCAGCCAGGTGGGCGTGGGCGGGACTGGGAGTTGGTCTGGAGCTGGGTCCGCCTGCGACTGCTGCAATGCAGTTTGCGGCTAATGTCTGACCTTGTTTTCCAATGACTAAATTAATTTCTTAATAAGTGCAGGGGTGCAGACGAGTCGCCACGCAAAACAAACACGAACTGCAGTCATGGCACAGTTTAACTTTTGGGTTAATTGTGGCAGCACCCCTGCCTGTCTGCCAGCCCGCCCGATTGCAATTAAGAAAAGGCAAAAGTTTTTGGTGGCAGCTTTAAAGCGACGTAATTGAAAGAGATTGCGGGATCGGGCAAAAGCCGCAACTGCAGCGACCATAAATCACGACCGCCGACTAAGTAGCCAAGCTCTAGTCAAGTTGCATGTTGCAGTCTGTGCAGGGGCATGGGCTCAAGGGAGGCTGTTGTGACTTATGGTTAGCCAGAGAGTCGAACCGGGGGCCACTGAATTATCAGGCGCACATCGCTGATGCCGCATTGCATAATCCATTGCGTACCCCATTTCCCATTCCCCATTCTGTGGGTCGTGCATCATTTCGAATGCCGCCGCCCGGTTGACATTATTTGCAGCTCGGCCTGGATTTTTGCACGCATAAATCTCTAAGCAAGCGCGCGTGTCGTGCGTTTATTATCACTTCCGTCTGGCGGACAGGAACGTTGGACGGGCATCCCAACTAGCTGTTAAAGCAACTCCTTTGTCTTTTTGGGCATCGCGAAATTTATCGCCGTCATTTGTAATTGTAGCGCGAAAATTGAGTTTGAAGTTTGTGTGTTGTGTGTTGTGTGTCGTCTGTCGTGTGTTGGTTCAGCTCAGTGTGGTTCGGTGCGGTTCGGTTCATTCTTCTGCCCAACTTTATTGTTTTCATCAACATAATTCTTTGGCACTGCGCTTTGGAGCCAGTCCAAATGATTGTTAGCCAAAGATTTAGTGCTCGAAAAAGGTGGCACTAAGCTGGGTATTTCCAGCTCCTAACATAGTTTCGCAAATGCCAGGCCATAAATAAATGTTGCAGACAGATATTATATATAGATATATATGTAAATTTAGTATATTTCCGTCACACGGAAGTGCCTTAAAAACCCAATTTTTGATACGCATTAATCTCGAACGAGTTATTGATATTGTACATACATATATAGGTATAGATATAGATTTAGTTATAGATATAGATACATGAATATATATATACAATAAATATATATCAAGCATTGTAAATTATGCGATTTTTTGCAAAGAAATCAACTTTTTGACTAATACTAATTACATAGATAACTATTTACCAAGCATACGTACCATGTTTTAAATAAATATAAGCCTAAACATTTTTCAACTGCTTCTAAGAAGTTTAAGATCTAAGCATTCAATGCTGCTTTATAAGCATACAAACAAAACGAACAAGTCAAGTATTTTTATCAAAATCCATTTACTCAAAGTGAACAACTCAATTCCCGAGGTAAAAACTTTTTAAATGTAAAAATATAAGTAACCCAAAAAAGGAAAATTTTTGAAATTAAATTTTACTCGAATCGCTTCCTCACATATTTTTATAGTGCTTTTCGAATTTTACCTTCAACAAATTTAAATTTAAATATGAAAAAGAGTTTGTAAATTAAGCAACAATTAATTGATAAATAAATCAAAAGACTTTTTCAACTCTTAGCTTACATTTGCCTTCTAGAGATAAGAATGCAAATCAAAGATTTATGCAACGAAAATGAAATCAAATAACACATAATATTAATCGAAGCCATTATAATACAGTTAAGAACATTTAGTTTATTTTAAGCAATGCAACAGTACATCTAAAAAGAAAACATAAAAAATGAATCAGTGAACAAGATTGTGATATTAGTTGACAACAAAATCAAATTACTTCCATGCTGTTTCTATATGATTTGCGGAAGCAAAATCTGAAAAGGACCGGTCTGATCCTTCTGAGAACCTTATTCTTTGAAGAGTTAGCCTGTTCTGTAAGGTGCTGCGTTTTTCGAAATGTTTTATGGTGCTATGTAAACTAATGCTTAGCTAGATTAAGTTAATGCGCCGACCCGTAGTTGTGGTTTAAATCGACAATCCTTAGCAGCCATACAAATCAAACTATGTTAATAACACTAACTAGAAATCAGTAAAGTACTTATAGACAAGGAAACTCTCTTAAAACTAGATCCATTATTTAACTGCATGCGATTTCGTAAAGTTTACACGAATTCAACTAAATTATGAATAACTATTGTAAAAATTAGTTTTCTTTAACAACAATTAAATGAAACTAGGATACTTTTCAAGGACTTTCAACCCGCAACTTCTTAAATAAATAATGAGAAAAAAGAAAATAATAAAAATAAATAAAATTATGCAGCTGAAGTTTGTGGAATGCGAAAATAATGCAAATGCCTTTGGCCGCCGGTGTTTGCTTGAATGCAATCAGTGCAGATTATGTAGTGGCTGTGCGGAAGGGGTGGCAGGGGAGAGGGGCCAAGGGTTGAAGAAATAATGCGCGTAATAACAAACTGCAGGCGTAACTGAAATGGCAGGCTACTGCGCATTTGTCCAGCCGATGGGCGATGGCGATGGCGAAGGCGAAGGCGTTGGCCAAGACGGACGACGGGAGGCGCAACTGCGGTAATTACAATTGCCGCCGGACATGGACAGCAGTAGCCACAGCAGCAATGGAAATGGCAGTGGCAGTGGCAGTGGCAGTGGCACAGCTGTGTCCGTGTTGCATCAACGCAACAGATCTCGAAGCATCCTCGCTCGCCCAAGACAATTATATGCTGCCAAAGACGCATGCGCAGCAGCAGAAGCAGCAGCGGCAGCAGCAGCAACAGCTTCCTGGCTGCATTTTGTTTTTACGTTTTTATTTGAGCAAATTGCTGGCAACTTTGCGGACTGTGACTGACTGAATGATAGACTCACTGACTGCTTGACTTTCAGACTTTCAGGTTGACTAAATGACTGACTGTCTGACAGTTGCTGCTGCTGCTGCTGCTGCTGTTGCCGCTGATGGTGATGCAGTTTCGCTCCAATTGCAATTTGTTGCTGCCCTGTTGCCTGTAAGAAAAAATATGCCAAAATTGCTACGTGCGGGCGTTTTGCACAAGAATCTCGGACCGGAGACCAGCCGGCAACGATAATGATGATTGCAGCTAAATTATGATGCCCCGATGTGAGTGCAGAGCTCAGCAGAGAAAGTGTAGCACACACACACAATCATGCACACACACACAGGTCAACAGAAGCTGACTGCAACATCATCAGGCTACGGCCATCGAAGGGACTTAGCGGCTTTATTTAGCATAACTCGCATCGCCATTGGGGCCGCAACAACAGCAGCAGCAACAACAACAAGATTAGCAAAACGTAATAATTGCAAAGCAGTTTGCCGCAGGTGCGCCACCCGCCTCTGTTGAGGACCCGTACCTGCAACTTAACCGGCTGCCTCACAGAGATGAGCACTCCCGATAAAGCAGCAACAACAAGGTAGTTTTTTCTTGTTGTTGGAGCCACATCCGATGCTGGCAACGTCGCGTATTAAATGCATTTGATCCTTGATGCTGTTGAAAATGAACTGAGCTCGAACATGCAATCAAGTAGCCCGCTCGCCGCACCTGTGCACCCTGGCCATCAATATGGCCAATTTCATGAATGAAAACTTGGCACAGACCGTCTTAGCCTTTTGCATGTAGAACCTGTGGAAACAACACGCACACCCACACAGGCGATTGAAGTGTGTAAGGAGCGAGCTGTTGCTGCTGCTGCTTTTGCTTTTGTTGATGTGGCTGTAGCTGTTGCTGTTGCTGCTGCTGTTTCTGGCAACATTATGAGTCTTGGCGACGCTTGTTGCAGCTGTAGCGCATTAACCTCGTTCACTCTGCTGCTGCCTCACAAGCAAAATATTTACCAAAGTGATTAAGATGCCTGAGTAATTTTTAACACAATTACGCTGCCAAGCAGACGACGGCACTCAGTAGTCAGCAGTCAGCAGTCAGCAGTTGGCAGTCAGCAGTCCCGGGCCTGCAATTGTGAGCTGCTGTTGCTGCCTGCCCCGTTGAATAGCTACTGTAGTTACACTGCCTCGGCGTCAGTTGCAGCTGCATTGCTGCTAATGACCAGGCCGAGCCAACAGCGCAGCCACTTGCAATATAAACTGTGGCATTGTCTGACTAGCCGGCTGCAACCCCAGCTCTAAACTTCAGCCACGGCCAGAGCTGCAGCCAGCAGCTCGGAGCAAGTGCCATCGCCATCAGCATCAGCAAAAGCATCACGCGGACCCCCGAACTTTTGTATACCTTGGCCATTAGCGTTTCCACACTACGCTGACTTTAATCGTAGCGCAGCGGAGCCAGTCGGAAGGTGGCAGGAAGAGGCAGGAGGTAGGCGGCAGACAGCAGGCGGAAGGTGGCAAGCGGCGGGCCGCAGGCGGCAGGCGGCAGGTTGCGGGTGTTTTACGCATCAGTGTTTTTTGACAGCTTCTTCTCGGCGCAACGTAATAAAAAAGTTAACGTTTTGTTGTGATTTATTGTATATGCGATTTTTGGCAGGTGTTGAGCAGAGCTGATCATCAGCAGTTGGTTGCTTGCGGCTTGGCTGCAAAACCGATTGCAACGTGTGGCACATTTGACGCTCAGTGCCTGCCCCATTCGAAGCATAACGCACGACAAGGCAACAAGAAACGTATAACGCACCATCAACATTAACAACAGCAACAGCAACAGCAAAAGCAAAAGTCGTGATGCGTTTGGTTTAGATTCGAACGGCACGATTTTTGCCAGCGTTAGCCACATTAACTATGTTGCCACAAACAACAATGTTGTTGTTACCAGCTTTCAATGCGAACTGTTGACAAAGAGCAGAGTTCGCGATTTGCGAATTTGTTGGCCATTTGCTAATAATATTTATACACTAGAACAGGCTGCCATGACTTTATATTTAGGTTTGACTAGTGGGAGTTGACTAATGTTTAATCTTCACTTAATGTACAGTAGTTACAAATATAAATATAGAATAGGAGGAAACTAGAAAAAAGTCTCGTTTGAGTCGTAACTTTTCGCTTAGATTTATTTCAGTTTTATGAATATTTAAATGTTAAATTGATTTTGCCAACATTGATTACTGATGAGCGGACATCTCTGAAGAAAGAATGGTGGAAGAAAGAATTATTTAATATAGTTATTTTCTTCAATGTTTCCGAGAGGTTACGGAATTTTGTATAGACCATAGTTATACCATAGATTAAATATACGTTTTGCATTTTACAATAAGTCTAAGTAAAATAAAGAAAGATTGAAGTGACAATAAGATTACAAGAATAAATTCAATATATTTTTTAACCTAAGAACGGGCAACTGTTAAGCTAAGCTTTTTTCAAAATTAAAATGTTTTTTTTTTTTAAAGCCATTGACTGCTGGAATTTGCAGATAAAATCATTGCCGAGGCTTAGCCATATTTACCTTTTCTATTCAAGTAGATTTATACAATTAAACGTCCATCAGTTTAAATACTTCATTTAGGGCATTTAGGCATCTGCTTACCTTTTGCTATTTTAAAATCGAAGCTGCTTTGGTCTAATCCGAATTTTCTTTCCCATTGTAGTGGACCAATGAAAATGAAAATGAGCGCGGCACGCGCTTAGCTGCCGCACGACTAGAAAATTTCAGTGGTGAAGCGCTGTTCGGTTGGCTGAACTCGAAGCGTCGACAGGGGAATAGTAACGGAAAGGGGAATGGGAACGGGCATGGAAAAGGAGTGTGAGTGTTGCAGCCACGTGTTGCGCATGCGCTTTTGGCCCCTAGACATGCAGTTGGACACGACGCGACGCCCTGAGCCTGAGACTGAGCCGGAGCCGCAGCCTGAGCCACAGCATTTGCGTTTGTCAGGGTCGACTGCATCGCGCGCTGGCTTCGTGCTCGGCACTTTGCAATTGTTCAGAAGCTCGTTCAGTTGTGCAGTTGCGTTGCACGAAGCGACGCTTTGGCGTGAGGCAAGCAGCAGCAGCAACAACTGCAACACCTTCACTCTCTGCGGTTGGGGCGATAGTGCTATGATGTATGGCCTGAACTTGCGCTGTTTGTGCCTCTACTTGTGGCAGAGCCACTGCCACAGCCCCTGTCCATGCCACAACCGCTGCCACTGCCCCAAGCTCGACTGCTGCCTACTATTGTAGGCGTCAACTCACGTTTATGCTTTGTAGACATTATCGCGCCTGTTTATCTTTAAATTGCAAGTAAATTACGCTGGCTCGCGCAGCTTGATGTATTATGCTGCCTTGTTGAGTGGCCAGTGAGTGATTTGATGAGCTGAGCAATGGCCGTGGTGGGAATATGGCAGATGAGAAGCAGAGGAGAGCTGTACACACAAAGATCTTTAAAAAACAACCCGTTTATTCGAGCACTACAAACTAAACGTTGTGCGTAATAAATTAGCTATGAAAGCGTCGTCATGCAGTTGGATAAGTGTTTATATGTGGGTGTATGTGAGATGTGGTGTATATCGATGTGGAGGGGGAAATCTCTCAGTAATGAGTCTCGGTGATCTTCACTTTGCCGTATTTACCGTGCAAATGGTGCTTGGCAAAGGACAGCAGATTGGCATGGCTGTGCACATCCAAGTGGGCCGGATAGATGGTCTTGTGCACCACAGCAGCATGACTGTGATGGTGCACCAGCGGAGCCGCATGATGATGGTGCACCAACGGAGCTGAGTGGTGGGCATAGTGGTGAAGGTCAGCGTGGGCATGTGCGTGCGTATCGATGTGGGCATGGTTGTTGTGGATAATGTGATGATCGACCACGGGATTCCTGTAGTGCAGGAAATGGTGTGGCTCATCGTGCACCACTTTGTGAACATGATGAACTGGCTCCACTTCATGGATGGGCTCGTGGCTGACGATCTTGGCCGGAGCATGAACATGGGCATGGTGCACATCGTGATCCAAATGGGCAGAATAGCCATCGTGATGGTAGACAGGATGTGGCACTGGGTCCACATGGTGATCGCCGCCATCGATCACTATAGCGGAGCTATGGCCCAGATGTATACCATCCGAATGATGAACGTCGCCGTCCACAAAGTGTGGCAGCTCCTCGTGATGAAGATCGTGCTCCAGATGCGGCAGCAAACCCGCCTGAGCTACGCCCAGCAAAGCCAAAGTGCAGATGAAGAACTAAAGAAAACTTCAACCATTAGAAGAAACTTTGTTATGCCAATCTTCCACCTTGCACCCACCTTCATTATGGAGATTTCACACTTAATTTGAGTTTATCCAAAAGTTAAGATTGACGGGGCGCCTGAGACACTTGTGTTTCTCTGCTGTTGTCGTTGAACTGTGCTCTAATCGGTCGGAGCCCACGCATTTTATAGCACCGCAAACAGCTGCAATCGTTGGCCAATTTCACGTGCAGCCTGGTAGGTCGAACAGCTGGCATGGCCAGTCGTCCAAGCCATTCAACGTTATCAAAATGGCCAAGCAATGAAAGTGATGTGATGTGTGCCGGGCCAGCCAAGTGGCCGGCGTGCCCGGAATGCTCAATGAGCTTTGTCGTCACATTTCAAACAATCTACAAAATGGTCCCGCTCATTATGTAAAGAGCGCAATGTAGTCAATAAACCATTTCCAGCTGGCACACACTCGTCGCCGGTCATGTCATAATTTTGTGGCCTTACAGGCCTAGCTCACCTTGCCAGGGGTTGCACCATTCTGGGCAACTGTTGGCAAGGCCATCGATAGTTCGGCGGCTCCGTGCACTGGAGTGCATTTTGCAACCAATTTGGCAATCTGCTGTCAGTGAAAGCGTTAGCTTCAGCTGACCAACATACAACATTTTTATAATCGACAAAAATAATCCATTCACACAATTTGCATGGGGCATACAAAACTCATAGCCACTACGTGCGTAAATCGTCGGCGGAATTCGATGTTCGCGGCTTGCCAATATCTCTGTATTTATATTGGCACAATAGTGCTAAAAATAATGCTAGCAACTTGTGGGTGTTATCAATCGTGACTTCCCAGATATTCGCGCCCTGCCAACTGTGAATTGCCAGTTGTCAATAAAGGAAACCAAACTCAGATAAGACATAAAATAAACCCATAGCACCGAAGAGTCAATACGCTTGTAGACATAATTGATTTATAAACAATTGGTTCAATGGGAGCCAAATACGACAGGAATCAAGTTACTTGAGCTGCATAAAAATGTGAGAAATCAGTTACATTTCTAGAGAAAAGTTAAGTTTTCGTCTTATAATTATGCTATATTTTCAATTGCTAAGAACGGAGATGTTTTCTTAATAACACTAGGTGGGTCTACCTTATTAAAGAACTTGGTTACCAGCTGTGTGCTTGAGAGTTTGGGATCAAATATTTATGATGTATGTATGATCTATAGATATTAGAAATCGCATAGTTTATAAAATGCTGTCTACATAGCTTATCATGTGTACATTCGTCACGGCAATTGCATTTCCTGTCTAGACGGTAGGCACGTTCCATAAATTATGAAAAACTTAAAGCAGTTAACTAGCAGAGTGGCAGAGTCAAAGGCAGGCCAAGATAACAGCCAAGTCGAGTCCAAAGTGGGTCAGCCAATGGCTAATTACATAATAATTTGGTCAATTTAATCACGTTGCTAATGAGCAACGTTGTATGCAAGGTGGTAAGTCTGTGGAGGCGGTGGGCGGAGGGGCGCAACTATCGCAACTATCGTTTGGGCGGCGGCGTCAACACCCCGAAAACTAGAGACGTACGTGCTGCACATGTGCAATGTGGCCCAAAGTGGAACTTGAAAAGCGGCGATCGACTTAAAATGCCTGCCAGGTGCCCACGCGACACGTTTGTCGTCGACCTGTCCAAAGATTTGAGTGCGAATTTGTTTTGGTTTCGATAGAAGCGCAAACGCAATTTGTACGCCTGACAAATACTCGAATATTTCCAATGAATTTTGCGTACGAATTTGACAATTCTTGGCGCTGCCTTTGGTCTTTTGGAATTGCCAGTTCCTGCCTGTATGTCTGTCTGTCTGTTTGCCAGTCTCTCCGTGTGTCTTACACCTGCCCCAACAGCCAATTAGCCGCAAAATATCTCGTCGCATGCAGCGCGCTGTGATCGCAGTTTGCAGCTCACATCTCAAGGGGCGGGCAGTGCAGCATTTGTAATTAGACGGGGCAGCAACAACGTGGACGGCAACTTATTTCAATATGCAAATTATTGTTAGACTAGCATAGACAAAAATTTACATAAAGCAGCGCCGACGAGCTGCAGCAGCAGAGGGAGACAGCCACACAGACAAAAAGCTGCATGACAAAAAAATAAAAATGAACAAAAAAAAATAATAAAAAAATCTATAATTTATTTGCACAAAAATGACGGCAAAAGTCGTTGGTGGTGCGGGTGCTGGTGGTGCCGGTGGCGGCGGTGCATGCTTGTAATTGAGTGCATCGTTTGCGGGGCAGCAAAAGCGGGGCAGTGGGTAGAAGGTGAGAGTGAGCTGTATTAGCGACGCTGCCAACAACTAATTTAGTGCCAGCGGCAACAGCAACAAACAGCAGCAGCAACAACAGAGACGGCAACATGTCAACGGCAACGCCTGCTGCCTGCCGCCTGCGGACTGCGGACGAGGATGATCCTATTGATGGGGGCGCTTGAAAGGCGGGCCGGACGGGGGTTACACTGTGCATATTTTATGCCTGCGGCTCTTGTGCGGTGTCCGTTGTGGGCAGCTCCGCATATGAGGCTGAAATAATTTTGCATCACATATTTTGTCGACCACAAATCAACGGCATGAGAAATTTGATGGTAATTAATATTGTAAGTAAAACGTATTATGCTTTTGAATAAATGGCTGTGCTGCATTTAATAGCTCATGGCTGCAGAGCCAGATAGAAGCAAATGGCGAAATGTCATGGAAAAGCGTCAAATGAGTAAGTTTTTAAGAATTTCATTTCTGACATCTTGACACTTATTTTTACATCCTGAACCCATTGAAAATGCCTATTCAGGGTATAATGACATTCATAAAATGTATGCAAAAGTTGAAAGCATTATCCCATAATGCAAATATATTCATAATCAGAAAGAAGAGCTGAGTCTAGGCGAAGCGGCCATCTGTCGCGTCTCTCCCCATAAGCATGAGCACGGAGCTTATCATGTAGAGCGCGCAGATCAATAAGTTTGTCGGTTTCCATAAAATTTTATAAAAAATATATTAAGCTTAATTTAATAGGTCATATCTCTTTCGATCTTAGAGCTAAAGTCTCCGACTTTTACATGTGCAATATTATATTTTGGAAACTAAACCAAAACTTGAGAGGTCCGAAAACATTCAAGTTCAATTGCAAATATAGCCAATACATTAAATATCAGTTAAAAGAACCGAAGGCACACTTTTTGTTTAAAATATAAATTTAATGAAAATTATACTAGAATATGTATATAGATGCTAGTTTGATCCTAGCTGGGGAAGTAAATATTTTCATATATATATATATGTTTATTTATGTACACGTTTCCACGTCTTACTCCGTGTGTATACATAGATACAAGCTTGTATGCTTGAAGACACAGATCGCCCAGTGTTCAGGGTATTTTAGCCAGCCACTTCCGACTTAAAGGCTCTCACTTGTCTAAATGTATATTTTACTTATTGCAACTGCTTAAGACAAGAATACGTAGTAGTAAATATAAAGGACGTTATTATTTATAAAAGTAAAAGTATCAAAAGTCAGTTCGAAATCGATAAATGTTATATGTACAAATATATAAAGTATATAAAAATCGAGGAAAAAATTCAGGAAAGCCGGACGAATGGCAAGTATGTAAAAGAGATTTACGAAATATTATATTATTATTATATAAAATAATATTAATTATAATATCGTTTTCTAAAAGAATAAATATGAGAAAATTTGTGTTGTGATTCTATTATAGAATGAAATACAAACTTTAATGAGCTATATAGAAATTATATGCATTTGTCAACTAGGTAGGAATAAGTGATTATCTCCAGACCATCGGCACACACCCTAAATGCGAGTTGATTATAGCTTAATGGCGTTAAGACTCGCACTATATTAATTGAAAGTGATTATTTAATGTTATCCAAGTTAATTGATGTTTGTTCTGTCGACTGTCATAAAAAATCAAATCAAATGCTTGCTTATACGTTTTAGGTTTGGACAACACTTAACACACTTAACTTAACTTAAAGATAACGCTGACTAACTCACTCGCCACATCATTAACTCGCAATCATAATATTAATTTCACAATCATTGTGCTGTCTTTTGGATTGATCAATCCAATGGAACCTGGCCCCTGCCCCTGAGGATGTTATCAAGGGTAGCATCAGCTGCTCAAGACACAGGTGTTTTTGGCCACTGTTCCAATTTGCAGTTCATATTGCATTCGATTTCTCATCACACGATTTTTAATCATTATGTCCCGCGAGCAGGAGTTCGGGAGTTCGTATCGGTGCTCGTACAGGATGATCAGAGAATCACATGTGCGGCTGGCTCTTCCCCCAACAGAAAACAAATTGCATAGCAGTAGCAGTAGATCCAGTCTGGTATTATTGCATTTTCACCAGGTAATGAAGTTCAGCAAAAAGTTAATCGGAAAAGCAAGGCCCCGCAACTAAATAGACAAATGATACGGAACGGAAGCTGCCAAGCAGTTGGCCAATTGTGCGGTGGGTTTTTCTTGCACATTAGCGGCTATAAATTGTCTTAATGCACACACACACACACAGACATACACTCACACACATTGAGTGCAGTCTGATCGGGGCCAGGCAGACACCTTGAACGGCGGCAAAGATCAGACCCAGAGGCTGCGACTGCAACGCAGAGCATTTCGTCGCTCTGCGCTGCATCGACTCGTCGTGTGATTTTGCAAACTCTGGCAGCAGTTCGAGTCCAGGTTTGGCATTCAGATCTTCATATACGATCATGCATATAGCGAGGCGCGTGTTGTGTATCTGCGTCTGTGTACCCTCCACAAGTGTATCTGCATCTGTAGCTGTGGGCCTGGTGTTGCATAAGCTGCTGCTGCTGCTGCTGCATGACCAATCGCTGTAAGATTGTGAAAATTGTAACGCTCGATTGAGAGCTCAAAGCTGCAGTTGCAGTTGTTGTTGTCTGCGCCGTTGTTGCTGTTGTTAATAATATTGCACAAAGGCAACTTTGCGAAAGTTCGTCAGCGGCAACAGCAGCAGCAGCAGAACAATGGCTCAAAC